CAATCAGCCTAGCAGGCTGTCAGACCTTGTTTAGATACGCTTTTTAAGAAAGCAAACTTGTTATTTACTTTACATTTCCAGGTCTATGACTCTTTAACAGGGAAAGATTTCCTTTTCTTAGCAGTTCCCTTTCAACTTAACGATAAAATTCACTCTATCACTTTTAAAGCCCACACAATGTTATTTTCAGTCATATCTTCTTAGTTAATAAAGCTAGAGACTCTGTACATTTACCTCTTGTCCAAATTCATTTTCCTTTTAATATAAATTCTGTAACTAATGATAAATCATACCCTTATAACAACAAATGGGATGGTGTGTGAGTTCTAGACTTTCCAAGTTACAGTCTATGAAGTAAAGAAATTGTGTCTTAAAAAATTGAAATATAGTCTCCTCAGATTTCACTCATAGTTTTAGTCTTAGGTTAGACTATGTACTCCTACAGCCTCTCCCAATGGAGACTTAGTCTACTCCCCTGAGGAGACAGGATGGGGAGGCAGGGACAGAGAGTGGCCAGGAGTTAATGCTTCTCAATTCATGTCCCCCAGAGGGAGAAACTCCAAAGCTCTGCCTCAGTTATTTCCTAGTTAAAACCTCATAAACAGACCGCTGAGTTGAAAAATACAACATGATTTGAAGCACAAAGTCCTCACAGTGAATGGGACACTATTTCTGACCAAAGATGCACTGTTTTTTTAAGAAAAATATGAATTCAAGGGAGAAAAATGATAGCTGAATTTGTTACTTTATGAATGCAAACTCAAGTTTATATGGCAGAACACTTTATTCTATATAAAAGAGCAGCTCAGTGATTTCTTCACAATATGAAAAAGGTGAGCAGCAATTATTTTACCCTGTTCTATCATAGTGTTATTTTTTTTCTAAAGGTTTGTTTATTTTAGGACCTCCTGGTGGTGCAGGCGGTTGAGCGCAGCGCTGTGAAGCTGTCCGCAGCCTCTGCAGCATGGGTTTTATCCCGGCCAGATAGCGAGAATCGCACATGGTGCAGCAGACCTCTGTTTTCACTCCCGCTGCTTTCCTCAGCAGTATGTTTCATCAGTCTGCCAGTTCTGCTCCCCACTCTGTCTCTGGTGAATCCTCTCACCCTCCCGTACATCTGGCCTGCGCCCCAGTGCTTGTATAAATCGTTTTTTTTTTTTTTTTAATGATTTATTTATTTTATACAAGCACCAGGGTACAAGCCAGAGTAGCGGGAGGGTGAGAGAATTCACTAGAGAAGGAGCAGGGAGCAGAATAGGCAGAAGGACCAAAACACACTGCTGGAGGGAGCAGCAGGCGACAGGAAAGTTCTGCCGTGCCATGTGGGCATCTCCCTGGCCGGCGCGTAATTGACCTGTGCTGCAGAGGCTGTGGACAGCTTCACAAGGCTGTGCTCAACCTGCTGCGCCATTGCAGAGGCCCTCATAGTGTATTTTTTAATAGTGTATTTTTTTAATATCAATAAACAATAGTAACTGAAAACACACTTTCCTTTTGCCAAAAAATTCGTTTGTCAGAATCATCTTTTTAACAAGAAACAGAAATTGTAAGTGATCAACCTTTCATTTTTATAACCGTAAAGAATATATAAAACGCAGATGAAATCAACTTGCTATTGTGAAAAGTCTTATATAATGTAGTTTAACTCATACATTTCAGAATATTGCATTCAAAATATCATTTCTGGTTGAATGTTTCGTGAAAAACAGTGAGTTTTGATTAAAATATGGAGACTTATCACACTGCTCAAATTGAAGTCACTTTGGTCAGAAACCAGGTTCCTGACACTCTGTGTCTTGGGTACTTATGCAAAATGGGAATGCTAACAGTGCCTACAGAATTCAGGTGCATTAATGAGGGAAAACAGGTAAAATATTAACAGCATGGCTTTAATATAATAAATGTTCAAAAATGAATAATAATAATAATAATAATAATAAACTTTCAAATAACCAGGCTTTCTACATTTCACAGGTATGCCCGGTTCTGTTACAAGAAAATTGTTAGAGGGAAAGCTCAACCTCCCATTTTAAAACTACCAAATGTTGTGATTTTTAATGGAGAGTGTCGATCAAATTCAGAAAAAGAAATTTTTAGAAAGTTATTTCAAGATATGCTTTCATATATTAAATAATATTTGAGTTAGTCTTTTTAAATTTTGTTTGTATTTTTATAATATGTGTACTACTATCATGTGCTCAGAATTCAGAAAATCTGCTGCAGTTCAGAGTAAAACCAAATGTAAAATACTAATATGTTAAAGTGGTTTCTCCAGGCATTGCTAGTGGTTTGTATCACTGAACATAGTATTTTTAAACACAGTATTGTAACAAATTACTCCCCTGTACATTTTTTCCTCCTAGATTGGGAAACATCTAATCCAGGACTTGATAAAAAAAAGAGCAAACTTCAAGATAAAACAAAAAGAATATGTAAAAATAACAATGACAAATACAGTAAGAATGATAATGATTAATTAACAATACTGAGTAGTACTACAAGTGCATCTTTTAAACCGGTCTAATAAATAGATTATGCTTCCTGCATAACAAAATACACCATTAGATATTATTATTACTGTGTATATTTTCAACAAGGAAAATGAAGCTGACAATTAAAAGGATGTATAACATAGAATTTAGATAAAAATATATCTAAATTTCATTTTAAGTCACTGAATTTCAAGTTCTTTGTTGGTGGGGAGTCATCTGGGCATGATTGTTGAATCAGTGTGAATCATTTCCAACTACCCATCAGCAGCTTGCCTTGTAAGCACCGGAGAGTTTGATTTATAGATATGTATTTGGTTTATAGACATGAGTGAGGATATGCGGGCAGATTTTTTGCAAAATAATTTTTATCCTCTTTCTTTAAAATTGAAAATACCAACATAATTCTGTAATGCCTTAATATCTGACAAAAATCTCAGAGTATTGAGTATTGTCACTTCCCTTGGAATGTGACACTCCTGTAAGGCCAGGTAACTCTCTCCACTTAGAACTGCACTTTCTAGGGTGACATCTGACTTCCCCAACTGACTTCACCACTGTAGGCTCTCTAAAGACATAACACAGCTCATGTTAAGCACCATTATATTTCAATATCCTTAAAACTTTCAACACTTTGTATTTTATAGTTACTTAGTATTTATCCACAATAAACTACAGTCATTGGTTGGCTACCTGAAACATTTATGAAACATTTTGGGTCACTGAAAATCCAATTATTTTCCTTATCTTTGTATTTCATTCAGTGTAGCTTCTAAAGGAAAACAAAATATTTAGGTAAGTTACCATAAATCTTCAAAGTTTGAGAAGATTTAATGCAGAAAATTTAATACAGAAAATTTTGAAAGACCTAGAAAATGAAGGTACAGATAAATGTAAACATTCAAGAGCAGACTATGGGGACTGCCTTAATTTCCGGCTATAGAACATTTATTTTTTGTTTAAGACATCCCAGGTCCTTGATTCTTCTGTTTAACGTTGTGAGTAACAAACACAGATGTGTCCAAGACACATTTACCTTGAGGGTGGGTGCTCCATGAGAAGTAAAAGTCAGGATTCAGGATTTGACAAATAAAGGAGGAAAGAATTTAACATTAGAGAACCAAGAAACAAAATGTAGAGATTATAATAGTTTCATTGATTTGCTATATGGGCAGAAAGAGGAACTTATCTTAGAAGGAGAGAGTCGTATTCTACAGAAATTTAAGATGAAGTAGATTCGGAAAATGGCAGTAGTTCCAAACACATGACAATGAATTTAGGAATAGGTGACAATCTATGAAAAAGATCACTGTTGCATATTAATAAATATACCAAGACTGGATGGAAACAATAAAAATTAAAGTCTAAGACTCAGCACAGTGTAGGATTACAGAACATAACTTGATTTAAAGATGCTTTTTTTTTTTTAAGAAAAAGATTTATTTATGCATACAAGAACAGGGGTATAGGCTAGAAGTGAAGGGAGTGAGAGGATTCACCAGAAAGAGTGGGGAGAATACAGGTAGATCTACTGAAATACACAACTGAGTGGAGCAGTAGGTGAGACAGGAGAGGTCTGCGGCACCAAGTGGGTTAGCTCCCTGCATGGGGATTGAACTCACGTCATAGTGGCCAGCAATAGCTTGACAGCGCTGAGACTTTAACCCCTGACCCACCAGGGAGGCCCCTAAAGATGTTTTTATTAGAGCTGATTAGGGTAAGTCTACGCTGCATTTAGCAGTATGATTCTAAATTGAGATATAGGCATTCAGAGTGTGTTTTATACACAGCATATGTATATCTATTAGATAATATATATCATGTGTTATTATTTGAGGTAGATAGATTTTCAAAATTCCTACTAAAGATAGTAGAAAGCTATAAAATGGCAGATTTTACACCTAGCCTAGTATAATATGTGAATTGTATGATCAAATTTTCTGACATCCTTCATTTTCCCTTTTTTGGTCTAATTTGGCCCTAACAGGATAAACTTATTAAATTATTATTAAAGCCTAAGATTTGAAATCTTCTTAGAATTATTAAAATTTTGGGGGAGTATGGCAGATGAATATATATATATATATATATGTATTATGCCAAAATCTTACTTTATTTCACTTTCTGTACTTCATGTGCGCATAGGACTTGCTAAGATGCAATATTTCTAATACTAATAGCTGGTGAGTGGCCAGGTTGGCTGAAGTGGACCAAGCAGTGGAGTCACCTGATCACCTTGACCCTGGTCTGCCTGAGAGTACCTCACAGTTGAAACATCAACATCAATGTGTAAGAATCATAAAAATGGATTATAAATTAGAAGGTGTTAGTGAGAAAAAAAAGTAGAAATAAAATTAAAATGACCAGATTAGTAAAGAGGAAGAAACACTTCTCATTGCAGACGATCGTAGTTTACCTAGAGCTATTTGATAATAGGCTTTCTGTCATGCTTTGCTCTTATTTTATAAAGTCTGTTTTGTGTGTAGTCTTATATCCATAATTTGTTCATAGATGGAATGCACAGGACAAAATTCCCCTCTGGGGAACCACACTGCACTGGTGGAATTCATCCTGATTGGGTTTTCTGATCTTCCGAACCTTCAAGGATTTCTTATTGGTGTATTTCTGATAATTTATATCATTATTCTTATGGGAAATAGCCTCATTATCATGATAACTAAGATTGACCCCACTCTCCAGACCCCCATGTATTTTTTCCTTGGGAATTTTTCCTTTTTGGAAATATGTTATGTGTCAGTTACTGTCCCCAGAGTGTTAGCAGATCTCTGTAGACAATATGGAAATATTTCACTGCTAGCCTGTGCTATTCAAATGTATTTCTTTCTGATCTTGGCAGATACTGAGTGCTTTATCCTCACTGCCATGGCTTATGACAGGTATGTTGCCATTTGCAACCCATTACTCTACCCTGTCATCATGAACAATAAGCTATGTGTTCAACTGGCAGTTGCCTGTTGGACCACTGCAATTCCAATACATACAATGTTCATCTCTGTGCTATTCTCCTCAACCTTTTGTGGATGTAACCAGTTGAATCACTTTTTCTGTGATGTTCCTCCAGTTGTCCAGCTTGTTTGTGGGGACACTTTCATGATTGAGATGCTGATTTATGTGATTGCTACTATTGTTATCACTCTGCCTTTTGTGTTGATACTTGTATCTTATGGGAAAATAATCTCCACCATCATGAAGCTGCCATCAGCAACAGGGAGAGCCAAAGCCTTCTCGACTTGTTCTTCCCATCTCATGGTTGTGACTTTGTTCTTTGGATCAGGCATCATTGTGTATTTCAGACCTAAATCCACTCACTCATCAGGAATGGACAAATTCTTTTCTCTTTTTTATACTATATTGACACCTGTTTTTAACCCCATTATCTATTGTCTGAGAAATAAAGATGTTAATGTGGCATTGGCAAAATTCCTACAGAAATGGATTGTGCTGTGACTCTAATATATAGATTTTAAAACAGTGTCTTAATTATCACAATTACCACTTAATTATCTTCAATTTTTCTAAGAATCTGAATTATTCTGGGTGAGTGTTTTCACATTTTTATCTTACATAAAATAAACTCAGCTGTAATTTCTAAGTCAAATATATTTTAAGTCAAATATATTTAATTAAAGGTGTAATAATATTGTTAATAACACATAGGAGTCATTTAAGCTTGTTGTTGGTGTTAAATTTTAAAGTTTTGGACTATTATTTTCTTTTTCTTTTCACAATAATTATTTGTCATGCATCTCCAGACCCAGTATTTTTTTGTGGGGAAAAAAAAAAGGACATTTAATTACATTTGATGGAAAGGATGAGAAAATAGCACTGGTTTAACCATTGATGTATTTTCTTTTTCTGCTCATTATTTGCATTATAATCATGTGACATGACTCTCTGGGCCTGATAACTTACCTGCAGAACCTGATCTAACCAGGTGCTTCTCTCATTGTGCCCTTAAGCCAGCCTTTGATTGTGTGCAGGTCATCCCCACACTTCCTCACCTGTCTGAGACAGTTATGGAAATTGAAAGGACCCATTTTCCCATGATGTTAAAAGGAAAATATGAAATTTGCAAATATGTCTAAAGGAAAACTAATATAACTGTTAATTGAAATTTCTCTACAATATAAAGACAAGAAGTTAAACATAGACTGCAATTTGCAGCAGGAATCCAGAGTATCTGACTACTGGATGAATTATAAATGGCTGTTTAGAAGCAAGGTGATCCATTAGATGTTTGTTTCATAATTGATTCTAACAAAGGTCAGTGGTGTTGGGATTTGAAACACAAAAGAAAAAAAAAGATTTCTGAACATCACAAAACTGGACTGATTTTCAACTTAATTTGGCAATGAAAATTCTATTTTCCTAAAAATTTGTATGTGTTGTTTCTGTTTTTTTCCCAAGAAAAACATTGAAATTCTTCTCTCTTATTATTCAAGCTATCAATTCTATTCTCGACATTTAATATGAAAACGTTTGTTTCCATCTCCCTCACATGGATTCTGATATAACTAATTAATCAGTTATAGAAAGGACCCATTTTGCAGGCAGTAAAATATGTATATAAAAATTGTTTAAGTAAGAAAATCTTATTGTGCTTTTGCAGGGAATGATAAAATTAATATGCATAGAACATTTCATAATTTGGAATATGAAAAGCTGACATTGATTGGAACAAATTTAAATGGAACCAGGCTGCCTAGCTTACAAAACACACACACACACACACACACACACATTAGCTATATTAACAATGAGAATGATCTTTAGCTTAAGCTCAAGATAAATCACATGACCACCACTTACAGTATAATAATCCACTGTGTAAACACTACTTGAAGTGTGACCCTGGCCTTATCATCACCTTCATATATTACTGCAATCATCTCCCAAGTGACCTTTCTGCTATGCTCTTGTCCATTGTGCTCTTATTTCATACTGCCTTTCTCTGACATCTTCTTTCTAACAATGGAAAAAATACACATATTATATGCTCTTAGTGATTTAATTTGGGGAAAGTAAATAACACAGATGCAATTATTGAGTTTCTAAATTATTGAACCCTAGAATGTTCTGTGTAGATGACATAATGTATGTTTGCAATTAACAACTTAAATGAGTCAGAGCTAGTGTTTATAAAAAGGAAAGAACGCCAAAATGGAAGAAAAAGCTAAAATCCCATATAATAAGGAAAAAGGGGAAATTATACTGGAGGGATATGAGAATGTCACACTTGAAATATTTAACTTTTTTTGCAGAAATAACAGGTCACTTTCCATCCAATGTAAGAAGCAGGCTCAGTCTCAGGGGTGAACAGGAGTCTAACATCAAACATTGTGACCAGCCTACAAGGGGCAGTTATAGTTAGATATTTACTGATTATTAATTAGTAGAAAATTTTGAATGAATGAATTAACAATAAAATTCACTCTACCTTATCTCTCCTATCACTTTAAACCCACGTAATGTCATTTTCATGTTCATACTTTCTCAATGTATAAAACTCAAAATGCAGTGTCCAATATCTCCTTGTCCAGATTCGTTTTTCTTTTTTATATAAATCCCTGTAACTAATGATAAATAATAACCTTCTATAATCAGAAGATCATAACAACAATCTGGATGAAATATGAACTCTAGAGACTATGCAAGTTACATTTTTTGAAGTAAAGTGATTTAATAATTTGAAATTTAGTATCCTCAGTTTCTATACATAGATCTAGCCCAATATGAAGACTGGGAATGTCTTCTATACCCTCTCCCAATGGAGACTTGCTCTACTCCCCAGAGATGAGAGGATGGGGAGCCAGGGACAGAGGAGTGGTCAGGGGGCTAATGCTTCTCAAGCCTTATTCCCCACAGAGAAAGAACCTTCCAAACATCATTAATCTACCCTGAGACAGCCTTGGTTACCACCTGATGAACAGATCATTGAGTTTAAAAATGCAATAAGAATTGAAGTACAAAGTCCCCATTGTGATTAAGACACCATTTCCTATGAAGCTATCGTGTTGATTTAAGTAAAACATGAATCCAAGGAAGAAATACTATAGTTGATTTGTTATTTTGTAACTAAAACCACAAGTTTATGTGACATAACACCCTATTCTATATAAAAGAGCAGCTCAGCAATTTCTCAACAATATGAAAAAGGTGAGCAGCAATTATTTTACCTTGTTTATTATAGTGTATTTTTTAATCTCAATAATCAATAGTCATTGAAAACACAATTTCCATTGCCAATCAATTTCATTTGTCAGAATCACCTTCTGAGCATGAAATATATACTGTAAGTAATCAGCCTTTCATTTTTAAAACAGTAAAGAATATATAAAATGGAGATGATACCAACTTGCTGTTGTGAAGAGTTTTATATAACTGAATTTTACTCATATTTTTCAGAATATTGCATTCGAAATCATTTTTCATTGAATGCTTTATGACAACCACTGAGTTGAGATTGAAAATGCGGAGTCTGCATTGTGCTGCTGAGTTTGAAGCCACCAGGGTCAGATAATAGCATCCTGACACTGGGCAGGTTATTTAAGCTCTCTGTGCATCTGTGTTATCTAAACTCTCTATGCAAAATGTGAATACTACCAGTGCCTACAGAAGTCAAAATGCATTAATGAGGAAAGACAGGTAAAGCATTAACAGCACAGTTATACTAAATGTTCAAAAAATGTTAATATTAATAAAAAAAAAACCTTCAAATAACCAGGCCTGTCTACATTTCACAGCTATGCCAGTTCCTGTTAAGACAGAAAATTGTTGAAGGGAAATTCACCTCCCATTTTAAAACTGCCAAAGTTCCTCTGATATTTGATGGAGAAAGTAGATAAATTTTAGAAAAGAAAATAAATAATGTAATCTTGGGATATGCTTTCATATATAAAATGAGAATTGAGTTAGATTTTATTTCTGTTTCTGTAATATGTGTAATACTCTCATATGCTCAAAATCCAAGAAACTGGTACAGATGTGAGTAAAACTAAACGTAAAAGCCCAGTAAGTTAGGAGTGTTTCCTCCAGGTGTTGGTGCTGGTTTGTTTCACCAAACATAGAACTGTCAATATCTTTAAGTATCCCTGCCAAATTACTACCTGCGCATTCTGACCTCTGCTAGACTTTTAAACATCTACTCCATGATTGGTTAAAAGATTGGCAAACTTTAAGATAAAATGGATAGGATATAAGTTAAAATAATAATGAGAAATGCAATAAGTATGATAACGATCATATAACAGTGCTGAGTAGAAGTAAAACTGCATTTTTTAAGCCAGCCTGTTTAGATTATGCTTCTTACCTCTCAAAATAACTGCCTAAATTACATGTTTTTGTCACTGTGTATGTTGTCCGCAATAAAAAAAATCAAGCTCTGATAATTAGAAGAAGGGCATAATGCCAAACTATATCTAATTTTCATTTAGGTAGCTCAATATCAAAGATTCAGTCAGTGAGGTCCTTAGCTACCAAGGACATGATTGTGGAGTCAGTAAAAAATGATTTTCCATTGCCCATCAGCAGGTGTTTATAAACCATTCACCTTGGAATATGAACATTTGTGTTCTAGGATTGAATGAGGATATGAGGTCTGTTTTTTGTAAGTAATTTTTATTCTCTTGCCTTAAAATTGAAAATAACAGTATAATTCTGGATACGCTGATATCTGACAAAATCTCAAATTGGGTGTCTTTTCCTTAGGAACATGAAACTGCTATGAGACCAGGTAATTCCCTCCGCATAGAACTGCATTTTTTAGGATGACATCTGACTTATCCATCTGACTTTACCATCAGTCTGTCAGCTCTGTGAAGGCATAACTGAAGTAATATTATTTATAATCATGATCCTTGGCATTTGACACACTCGTATTTATCACACACTTAATATTTATCCATAACAAACTACTGTAATAGCTACAAATATATATTGGTTGCCTGATATATTATGAAATATTTTGGGTCATTCAAAAATTCAATTCTCTTTTTATTCAGGTTTCTCTCATAAGGTATAGTTTTTGAAAGAAAAACAACAACATATTTAGGAAAGTGATATAAGTCTTTGAAGTTTGAGAAGATACAGTATGGGAAAATAACCACCAAATTGGAATTCAGAGAAAATAAAGGCACAGAGATGCAAATGTAGGCCTCCGAGAGCAGACTATGGAACCAACTCAATTTCAGGTTATAGAGCATAATTTTTGAATCTAAATCATCCTAGGTCCTTGATCTCTTATGTTCAGAATTGTGAGTCATAACACAGATAAGCTATGAGGGAGCTTTTGTCTTGAGCGTGTGCTGTGAAAAACTAAAGACAGAATTTAAGATTCTTTAAACTGAGAAGGAAGGAATTTAGGATTAAAGTGAATTAAGAAACAAAAATTGGAAATTATGGATTGTTTCATTGGCTTGGATTTGTGGGCAGTAAGAGGAGTTTAGAGAAAGAAAGGGAAATTGTATTCCACAGAAATTTAAGGTGAAGATGGTCAGGAAAATGACTATAGTTCTAAACACATGACGATATAGATTTAGTATTATATGACAATCTATGAAAAATGCCACTGTTGCATACTAATAAATACATTGGTACTGGATGGAAATAACGAAAATTAAAATCTAGGTTTCAGGCCTCCCTGGTGGTGCAGGTGTGCCGCACTGTGAAGCTGTCTGCAGCCTCTGCACCACGGGTTCGATCCTGGCCAGCCGGTGAGAATCCCACATGACGAAGCAGACCTCTCCTGTCTTGCCCTCTCCTGTCTGCTCCCCTCAACAGTGTATTTCTTCAGTCTGACTGTTCTGTTCCCCACTCTGTCTGATGAATCCTCTCACCCTCCTGTGCATCTGGCCTGTACCCCAGTTCTTGTATAAAAATAAATAAATCTTTAAAAAAAGAAAATAAAATCTAGGTTTCAGAACAGTGCAGGAATTACTGAACATAATTTGATTTAAAGATGCTTGTATTTTAGATCTGATTAGGTTAAGTTTGCACTGCATTTAGCAGTGTTTATAAATTCAGATAAAGATATTTAAAGTGTGTATTTTACACAGCATATATTTTTATGTAACATATATTATGTATCATGTGTTAATATTAGATGGTAGAAAGAGATCCAAAGTTTAAGTTATAAGATTTTACACTTAGTCTGGTGTCATTTGTGTAATCTCTGATCAAATTTCCTGACATACCTTCATCTTCTTTTTCTTGTCTAATTTTTCCCTAAAAGGATAAGCTTATCTAATATCTACTGAAGTCTAAAATTTGGTATGTACTTATTTATGAAAACTGTTGGGTACAATGTAGAATTAAGGAAATATAACAAAATCTTACTTCACATTCTAGATTTATGGTCTCACATGACTTACTAAGGTGTGTTATTTCTGAGACAAGTTTCTGGGGAGTGGCCAGATTGGCTGATGTGGACCTGACAGCAGAGTCTTAGTGACCACCTTGCCCCTGGGATGCCTGAGAGTAACTCACAGGAGAAACATCAAAAGTAATGTGCAAGAATCATAAGATTCTAAATTAGAAGGTATTACTGAGGGAAAAAAATGACCAAATTAACCAGAATTAATAACCTGAATCTTCAAATTAGAGAATATCTCAGGTTATCTAGAGCTTTTTGAGAATAGGCTTCCTGGCATGAATTGTTCTTATTTTATTGTCATCTGTTTTGTAGTGCTAGTGACACATCTGTAATTCCTAACATGAGCAGGAGGAAAAGAGTATCTCCTTTTACATCTTGGAATTTTAGGATATTGGATTTAAAATGTATTCCCCAAAATATAAAGCAAACAAGAAAACTGGATATCTATCCTGTGCCAGTGGATTTGAAAGCAATCATTTAATCCATTCCAGATTTAAGCTTGAACCAAAGGATTGACTTTACTTTTAATCCTTGAAAATACTGTATTTATAGATGGACTGCACAGGACAAAATCCCCCTCTGGGGAACCACACTGCATTGGTAGAATTCATCCTGATTGGGTTTTCTGATCTTCCCAACCTTCAAGGTTTACTTTTTGGTGTATTTCTGATTCTCTACATCATTATTCTTATGGGAAATAGCCTCATTATCATGATAACTAAGGTTGATCCTTCCCTCCAGACCCCCATGTATTTCTTCCTTGGGAATTTTTCCCTTTTGGAAATATGTTATGTGTCAGTTACTGTTCCCAGATTATTAACTGATCTCTGTAGACAATATGGAAATATTTCTTTTCTGACCTGTGCTATTCAAATGTATTTCTTTCTGGTTCTGGGAGACACTGAATGCTTTATCCTCACTGCAATGGCTTATGACAGGTATGTTGCCATTTGCAATCCATTGCTCTACCCTGTCATCATGAACAGTAGGTTCTGTATACAACTAGTACTTGTCTGCTGGACCACTGCAATTCCAATACATATAGGGTTCACGTCTGTGCTCTTCACATCACCCTTCTGTGAATGTAACCAATTGAATCACTTTTTCTGTGATGTACCTCCAGTTGTTCAGCTTGTTTGTGGGGACACTTTCATGCTTGAGTTGTTGACTTATGTGATTTCTAGTCTAGCTGTTGCTGTGCCCTTTATGTTGATACTTGTATCTTACGTAAATATAATCTCCACCATTCTGAAGCTGCCATCAGCAACCGGGAGAGCCAAAGCCTTCTCGACTTGTTCTTCCCATCTTATGGTTGTGATTTTATTCTTTGGATCAGGCATCATTGTGTATTTGAGACCTAAGTCCAGCCAGTTAATAGGAATGGACAAATACCTTTCCCTTTTTTATGCCATCTTGATACCAGTGTTTAACCCCATTATTTATTGTCTGAGAAACAAAGATGTTATGGTGGCTTTGGGAAAATGCCTACAGAAATGGATTGTGCTGTGAAAAAAAAAATTAAAATTGTTTCTTATTTATCACAATTTCCATTTGGTTTTTCTTCCATTTTGTTAAGAATCTTGAATTAGGGCCTCCCCGGTGGCGCAGCGGTTGAGCGCTGGGTTGTGAAGCTGCCTGCGACCTCTGCGGTGCCGGTTCCATCCCCAGCTGCTCCCCGGCCACCGGAGGAGGGTCCCACATGGCGCGCAGACCTCTCCTGCCGCCCTCTGCTCCCTTCAGCAGTGTACTTCGGTCCTTCTGCCTGCTCTGCTCCCCGCTCTGGCTCTGGTGAATTCTCTCACCCTCCCGCGCTTCTGACTGTACCCAGTGCATGTATAAACAAACAAACAAACAAATAAATAAATAACATGCCTCTAAATAAAAAAAAATTAAAAAAAAAATCTTGAATTACTCTGAGTGAGTGTTTTCATATTTTTATCTCTCATAAAATAAACTCAGCCTTTTTTATTAAGTCAAATAAAACCACAATTCAAAGGTATAGAAATATCTTTCAAAACACACTGGAATTTAATGTTTGTTGCTGATTCAGTTGTTTTCAAGATTATAGAATATTAGCTCCTTTATATCCAGAAAAAAAATATTGTCTGATAAATGAGACAATTAATTTAATTTGTGGACTGATAGGATGAATACTAAATGATTAACTATTGATTTTTATCTGCTTCTGCTCAATGTTCCCATTAGAGTCATAGAAAGTGAAGGCAAGAAAAGAAGGCTTGGTGACAAACAACATTTTTTTGTAGCTAATTTATTAAAGAAGGTGTAGAATTATTGAGTCTCTAAATCATTGAGCTCCAGAATGGTCTGTGTAAATGATGCCAATTTGGAGCTAAATGTTTTCAATTAAAATGATAAATGAGTAAGTGATGAAGCATTTATAAAGTGGAAACAATGTCAAAATGGAAGAAAAGTTAAAATATCATACAATAGTGACCTCCCTGGTGGCATAGGGGTTAAGTCTCAGTGCTACCACTGAAAAGGCCCAAGTTCAATCCCCAGTCAGGGAGCTAACCCACATATGGCACAGCAGGCCTCTCCTGTTTTGCTTGCTGCTCCCCTCAGCAGTGTATTTCAGTAGAGCTGCTTGTTTTGCTCCCCATTCTGTCACAGGTGAATTCTTTCAAATCCCCCTCTGGCCTACACCCAGGTCTACACAAAAATAAATAAATAAATAAAATATTTTATTAAAGTTTCATACAATAAGGGTCAAAAATTATATAGGAGAAATATGAGAATGCCACACTTGAAATATTTAACTTTTTTGGTAGGAATAATAGGTCACTTTCTTTTACATTGTGGTATTCCTACTCAGCCTAAAAGAAGAACAGGAGTATAACATCAAACGTTGTGAACAGCCAACAGGGGAAAGTTTTTGTCTTCTGAAAAACAGAGAACAATTTTTCAGTTAGATATTTATTGATGAATATTAAAGAAAATAAATTGGATGCATGAATTCACAACAAAATTCACTTTATTTTCTTTCTTAATACTCGTAAAACCCACATGGGTCATTTTTACATTCATACCTTCTCAGTATATAAAACTGAAGACTAAGTGTACTTTATCCTCTTGTTGAAATTCATTTTTCTTTCTTATATACATTCCTGTACTAATGAAAAATACTATCCTGATATGAGCAGAGTCCATAACAACAGGATGATGCATGAGCTCTGGAGGCTATACAAATTACACTTTTTGGGGTAAAGAAATGGTGTCTTAATAATTTGAAATGTAGTATCCTCATATTTCATTCATAGTTTTAGTACAATGTTAAGTGTGTAAACATCTTCTATAGCTTCTCCCAAAGGAAACTTGCTCTACTCCCCAGAGATGAAAGAATGGGAGCCAGGGACAGAGGAATGGACATGGGGTTCATACTCCTCAACTTATATTCCCAGTGAGAGAAATTTCCAGGCATTGCTAACCCAACAAGGGACAGCCTTGGTTATTTCGTAGTTAACACCTGATGAACAGATTAGTAGTTTAAAAATGAGGCAAATCTTGGAACACAAAGTTCCCACTGTGAATGAGACCTGATATCTTCAAAGGTGTCCTTTTGATTTAAGTAAACTCTGAGCTTAAGGAAGAAAAATGATAGTTGAATTTATTACTTTATAATTAAAGCCACATGTTTATGTGTCATCACACATTATTCTAAACAAAAGAGCACATCAGTGATTTCTCCACAATATGAAAAAGGTAGGCAAAGATTATTTTACCCTGCTTATTTTATTAGTGTTTTTTAATCTCGTTCATTAAAAGTCACTGAAAATACACTTTCCTTTTTTATTTTTTTTTATGTATGTCATCTGCTAAACCTGAAATATATACAGTAACCACATTTAATCAACCGTTCATTTTTTCAGCAGTGTGGAAGATATAAATTGGAGTTGAAGTCAACTGCTATTTTGAAGTTTATGTAACTTATTTTCACTGTTATTTCTCAGAATTTTGCATTCAAGAATCTCTTTTCATTGAATCTTTATGAAAACCACTGAGTTTTTATTAAGAATGTGGAGTCTGGAGCCTCCCCGGTGGCGCAGCAGTTGAGCACTGGGTTGCGAAGCTGCCCGCAGCCTCTGTATCGCCGGTTTGATCCCCGGCTGCCCCCCCCACCCCCCCACCCCCGCCACAGGAGGAGGGTCGCAGACCTCTCCTGCCGCCCGCTTCCCCCCTCAGCAGTGTACTTCAGTCCTTCTGCCTGCTCTGCTCCCCGCTCTGGCTCTGGTGAATTCTCTCACCCTCCCGCGCTTCTGACTGTACCCAGTGCTTGTATAAATAAATAAATAATCTAAAAAAAATTTAAATTAAAAAATAAAATAAAATATTAAAAAAAAAAGAATGTGGAGTCTGATCACACTGGTGAGTTTGAAGTCACCTGGATCAGACACCAGCTTCCTGACACTGGGCAGGTTATTTACATCTCTGTGCATTGGGTTCTTATGCATCATGTGAATAATGAGTTCCTATAGAATTCAAAATGCATTAATGAGGGAATGCAGGTAAAGTATTAACAGAAAGGTCATCATATAATCAATGTTCAAAATGTATTAATAATAAAAAAAAAATCAAATAACTAGACCTCTCTATATATCACAGCTATGCCAGTTCCTATTAAGACAAAATTGTTGAAGGGAAATTCAACACCCATTTTAAAATTGCCAAAGTTACTCTGTTATTTAATGGAGAAAGTAGATTAATTTTAGAAAAGAAAATAATTAAAAAATGTTAATTTGGGAGCCTTCCTGGTGGCACAAGGGGTTAAGACACAACCTATGAAGCTATCTGCAGCCACTGCAGCATGAGTTTCATCCCCGGCCAGGAAGCTACCCCCATGGCACAGTCGACCTCGCCAGACTAGCCCACTGCTCCCCTCAGCAGTGTACTTCAGTTAATCTGCCTATTCTGTTTCCACTCTGTCTCTGGTGAATCCTCTCACCCCCCACACCTCTGGCCTGAACCCCAGTTCTTTTATGCATAAATAAATAAATTTTTAAGAAAAAGAAGTAATTGTCACTAAAATGAAAAGATATCCCACCAAATGGGAGAAAATATTTGTGTATCATACATCCAGCAAAGAGCTAATATCCAAGATTTACAACTTGAATACATACAACTCTATTAAAATAACACAGAGAACCCAGTTAAAAAAAAAAAAAAAAAATGGGAAGAAGAACTAAATAGGCACTTCTCCAAGGAAGACACAGAGAACAGGCACATGAAAAAATGTTCAACATCACTATTGTCAGGGAAGTGCAACTCAAAACCACATTGAGATACCACCTCCCTCTTGTGAGAAGGGTCCACATCAAAAACAAAGAAAAAAAAAAACAGGCAGCAGTCCCTCTGCCCACCCGTGACTCTGCGGGTGCTTCCTTTCACCAACTCTCTCCCTCTGCAGGGCAGTAGCCTTCCTGCCAGCCCGTGACCTGTACCACCCTGGGGGCTTCTCCTCACTGATGTCCCTCAGCAGAGGCAGCTCTCCTCAAGGATGCCCGCCTGCAACGATGCAGGCCTCTCTTAGGAAACCTGTCCCTTTGGGGGCAGCTCTTTCTGCACGCATGTGTCTATGCAAGTGTCTTTTACTCTTCTGTCCCTTTCTCTAATAAGTCTGCTCTTTAAAACAGAAACCAGTATTGCTGAAGGTGGGAAGAAAAAGGAACCCTTTACCCTTGAGGGGACGTAAACCGGTCCAACCCCTGTCCTCTATCCCAGTTCTTACATGCATAAATAAATAAATCTTTAAAAAAAGAATATTAATTTGGGATATGCTTTCATATATTAAATAAGATGTGAGTTAGGCTTTTGAGTTAAATTTTATTTGTATTTCTGTAATATGTCTACTTCTCTCTTGTGTTGAAAATTCAGGAACCCATACAGATGTGTGTAAAACTAACATGAAGTCCCAGGAAGTTGAGTTGTTTCTCCAGGCATTGCTGCTGGTTTGTACAGCTGAGCACAGAACAGTCTACTAATTTTAAGCTCATTATTCTTGCCAAGTTACTACCCTCTACTTTCTTTCCTGCTAGATCAGGAAACATCTACTTCATGACTGGTTAAAAGGTGAGAAAATTCAAGATAAAGAAAAAAGATACATGACTAAACAATACTGATGAATATAATATGTATGATCATGATCCTATAACGATGCTAAATAGAACTAAAATGGCGTCTTTTAATTCAGTCTGTCAAATAGATTATGTCCCTTACCTCTTAAAATAATTCCCTGAGTTACATATTATTATCACTGTGTATATTATATTTTCAACAACAACAACAAAATAAGCTATGATAATTACTATAAGGATATATTACCAAAATATCTCTAATTTTATTTCAGGTAATCCAATATCAAGTTATCTGTTCAGTGAATTCTTTAGTTAAATGGGGCATGATTGTTGAGTCAATGGGAAATCATTTCCTATTACTCATCAGAAGATATTTATAAACCACTCACCTTGTAAACACCAGACATTTTGGGTTATAGAACTGAGTGAGTATGAGAGCCTATTTTTCTTAAAATAATTTTTATTCTCTTTCCTTAAAGTTGATAATACCAGGATGGTTTTGTGATCTGACAAAATCTCAATGTAAATGTCACTTTCTTTGGAATGTGGCTCTCCTGCAAGACCAGGTAACTCTCCCCACATAGACTTTACTCTAGGGTAACATCTGACTTCCCCATCTGACTTCACCACTGTAAGACCTGTAAAGATATAACTGAACTCATATTATTCATCAGTATTATTATTATTGCCGTCAGCAATTGACACACTCTATTTAACCTGCACATAATATTTAATCAATAATAAACTACATTAATTACTATGAAATGTACAGGAGTTCGCTGTCTGATACATTTGAAACATCTTGGGTCAATGGAAATTCAATTCTATTTTTGCTGTAACTACAGCATGAGGTATAGAATCCCATGAGGTATAGAATCTCAAAGAAAAACACAACATAATTTAGGAAGGTGATATAAATCTTGAATGTTTAAGAAGTTATAATATGGGAAAATCATGACCAAATTGTGAATTAGGAGAAAATAAAGCCACAGAGAAACAAACATAGAGATCCAAGAGCAGACTATGGGGAGTGACTAATTTTCAGCATTTTCAGCATGTTCTTTGAATCTAAAGCATCCCAGGTATTAGATCCTTTCTGTTCAGAAATGTGAGTCATAAATTCAGATGAGCCATGGGGGAGCTTCTTCTATCTTGAGGGTATGCATTGAACAAATGAAGACAGAATTCAAGATTCCTTGAAATGAAAAGGAAGGGATTTCGGGTTAGAAAGAACTAAGAAACAAAATGTAGAAATTACGAATTATTTCATTGTGGGAAGAATAAGAAATTAGTGACTTAGAGAAAGAAGGGGAAGCTGAATTTTACAGAAGTTTAAGATGAAATTGGTCTGGAAAACGACTATAGTTTCAAACACATGACAGTGTTCATTTAGGACTATATGCCAATGTGTGGAAAGGTCATCGTTTTACATGAATAAATGATACAAAGACTGGATGGAAATAACAAAAATTAAGCCTAGGATTTAGCATAGCAGAGCAATTACTGAATATAATCTGATCTAAAAATGCTTGTATTTTAGATGATTTAGGGTAAGTCTAAACTGCATGTATCAGTGTGTTTTTAAATTCAGATATAGATATTCTAAGTATGGATTAAGCACAGCATATACTTATCATATTATATAGCACATGAAGTATACATTATATATTATGTGGTTAAAATATTAGGTGATAGATAGATGGAAAGATATTCAAAACTCCAATTAAACATAGAAATAAGGGATACAATGGCAGATTTCACATATATCTGGTTTCATGTGTGAACTCTCTGCTCAAATTCTGACCATCTTCATTTTCCTTTTCTTTATCCTATTACCCCCCAAAAGGATGAGTTTATCTAATTATTTCTAAAATCCTAAAGTTTGGAATATGCTTAATTAAGGATGTGTTTTTAAAAAAATCTTACTTTATCCTAGACACTATGTGCTCATAGGACTTGCTATGCTGCATTATTTCTAGGACAAATGCTGGTGAGTGGCCAGGTGGGCTGAAGTGGACCAGGCAATGGAGACTCACTGACCAGTTTGCCCCTGAGCTGAATGAGAGTACCTCACAGGTGAAACATCAAAATAAATGCACAAGAATTACATAAACGGATTATAAATTTGATGGTGCTAGATAGAAAAAAAAAAGAAATAAATACCAAATAGGACCAAATGAAACGTTTGTCAAAGAAGGTCCCAGGTTACCTAGAGCTGTTTGAGAAGAGGTATCTGACATGTTCGCCCTTATTTTAATGTCATCTATATTTAGTGTTAATAATATATCTATAATTTTAAATGTGATCATGAAAATAGATTATCTCTTTTAATATTCTGCAATTTAGGACCTTGAATTTGAAATGCATTCCCCAAAGTGTAATGCAAACAAGGAAACTGGATATCTGTTCTGTGTCAGTGGATCTGAAACCAGTGATATAATGTGTCCCAAACCATTGGTCTTTCAGCCCAAACCAAAGATTTGAAATGACTTCCAAGGTTTGAAATCATTTTGTTCATAGATGGAATGCACAGGACAAAATTCCCCACTGGGGAACTTCACTACATTGGTGGAATTCATCCTGATTGGGTTTTCTGATGTTCCCAACCTTCAAGGATTTCTTTTTGGTCTAATTTTTATAATCTATGTATTTATTCTTATGGGAAATAGTCTCATTATCATGATAACTAAGGTTGATCCTTCCCTACAGACCCCCATGTATTTCTTCCTTAGGAATTTTTCTTTTTTGGAAATTTGTTATGTGTCAGTTACTGTTCCCAGATTATTAACAGATCTCTGTAGACACTATGGAAAAATTCCCTTTCTGGCCTGTGCTATTCAAATGTTTTTCTTTCAGATCTTTGTAGATACTGAGTGTTTTATTCTCACTGCCATGGCTTATGACAGGTATGTTGCCATTTGCAACCCATTACTCTACCCTGTCATCATGAACAATAGGCTGTCTGTTCAACTGGCAGTTGCCTGCTGGACCATTGCTATTCCAATACACATAGGGTTCATCTCTGTGGTCTTCTCTTCACCCTTCTGTGGATGTAACCAGTTGAATCACTTTTTCTGTGATTCACCTCCAGTCATACAGCTTATTTGTGGGGATGCCGTCATGGTTGAAATGCTAAGTTATGTGCTTGCTGCATTAGTTGGCAGTATACTTTCTTTTCTGATACTTGGATCTTATGTGAAAATAATCTCCACCATCCTGAAGCTGCCATCAGCAACTGGGAGAGCCAAGGCCTTCTCGACTTGTTGTTCCCATCTCACAGTTGTGACTTTATTCTTTTTATCAGGCATCATTGTGTATATGAAACCCAAGTCCAGCCACTCAACAGGAGTAGACAAATTCCTCTCTCTTTTTTATACCATCTTCATACCAATGTTAAACCCCATTATTTATTGTCTGCGAAACAAAGATGTTATGGTGGCGTTGGAGAAATTCCTACAAAAATGTATTGTGCTGTGACTCAGAAACATAACACCCTTAAAATTGTTTCTATTTTTCATACCTTCATTTGCTTATCGTCAATTATGCTAAAATCTGAGTTATTCTGAAGGAATGATCTCATATTTTCATCTCTCACAAAATAAGCTCAGCTGTTTTTTAAGAAAAATAAATACCCAGGGCCTCCCCGGTGGCTCAGCGGTTGAGCGCTGGGTTGCACAGCTGCCCGCAGCCTCTGCAACACTGGTTCGATCCCCGGCTGCTCCCTGGCCACCGCAGGTGGGTCCCGCATGGCGTGCAGACCTCTCCTGCCGCCCGCTGCTCCCCTCAGCAGTGTACATCGGTCCTTCTGCCTGCTCTGCTCCCCGCTCTGGCTCTGGTGAATTCTCTCACCCTCCCGTGCTTCTGACTGTACCCAGTGCTTGTATAAATAAATAAATAAATAAATAAATAAATAAATAAATAAATCTTAAAAAAAATAAAATAAAATAAATACCCAACTCGATATAAAGTTTAGAAATACCATTAATAACTCATTGGAATTATTAAAGTTTGTTGATTCTATTGTTATTTTAAAAACAATAGAATATATCTATTTTCTTTTCACAAAAATATTTATGTATCTCTAGAACCAATGTATTGTCAGGAAAACAGACATTTTATTAAATTTGTTAATCTAAAAGGATGGCTAATAGCACAACTTTAATAATCATTTTTTTATTCTTCTGTCCAACTTGCATTATAATCATATAAAATCAAGTACAGAGTAACAGTTTGGAGTCTAAGAGACTGATCTGCAAGTTAACACGTTAAAAAGTCAAAATTCCTTCTGCTCTTACTGCTGATTCATCAGTAATTCCCTACAGGTGAATCACACATGCAACAGGCCTCATAATATCTTAATTCCAGAATCCAGTCTTTCCCTAGATTGTGACATAACTCCATTCACTTCCATTCATTCACTTCAAACGGTCAATCAAATTTTGTTATACAGGTATGAAGTGTACATAAAGAATGAGAAAACTGAAGGGAAAAAATATTTGAGTAATGGAATAAAGAAATAAGCTCTGGTTGTGTCTTACTTTTTATACTGTCTTATTGATGTGGAAAAAATGCTTTATTTTTAAGCATTTTGTAGGTCTTACTGAAAAAGGATAGCTGTGTAGGTTTCAAGAAAGATTAATTCTATTTTTAATTTTGTAAGAATATTAGTCATGTGTTTCCCACATCGTTTTTCTTCTCTGTGATCTACATTCTCTAAGTCTCTCATCACAACCATCCCAGGCTCTTGCATTGACTTTCCATGAAGTTCCTTCCAATACAGAAACCTTAAGTCACCTCCCTTTTCCCATCACTCATGTCACGTTTATATCAGAGATCTCCATAAGTTTGTACACACAACACAATATCTGAATAAATATTTCCTGACATAAAATTCCATGTTAAGTAGAATTAAAATGGAGGAATAAACATTAAAAATTTATTTATAATGCCAAAAAAGCATTCAATTTTTACAAAATATAGCTTTGTTCATTGAGCACTGTCAAAGAAGGTATCAAATATAAATGACTAGGTTGTAATTATGTTCTTAAATTATTCATGAAGGAGCTATTATATTAAAAAAAATACTAGGGGGATTTTTAAAACATTGCCAGTAATTGACCTGTAGCGCTACCTCTTTCCCCTAACATCAAAACTACCTGTTGTGTTGAAAACATTGAAGATAACAAAGCAAATCTCACGGTACTTTTGCAGTGAGTCATAAAATTATAGTGGATAGAAAATTTGATTGCTTTCAAGTATTAATAGTTGACATGGTTTAGATTTGTGTTATGGAACCACAATTAATTAAAAAAAAAAACACATTAGCTGTGTTGTTTATCAAGACAAAGAACTTTGCACAATTGCAATGTAAATCATGTGAACTCCTCTCACAATTAATTACACACAGGATAGACACAACTTCAAGTCTGATCTTGGCCTATATCATCTCCTACCTAGAGTCCCAAGAGGCTGTTCTGCTTCTGCTCTTGTCCAGTCTAACTACATTGTGTTCTGATTTCATACTGCCTTTCACTGACATTTTACTCCTTTCCAATAATGGAAAATTTCACATAATACATGCTGATAGTGATTTAATTTGGGGAAATTCAATAACCCAGATGTAATTATTGAGTCTCTAATTACTGAGCCCTATAATACACTGTGTGGATGATGCCAAAATTGGAGCTAAATGTTTACAATTAACAAGACAAATGAATCAGAGTTGAGGATTTTATAAAAAGATAAGAATGTCAGAAGGGAAGAAAAGCTAAATTGTCATACAATAAGGGCCAAAAGGAAATTATATTGGAGGGATATGAGAATGGCACACTTGAAATATTTACCTTTTCTTGGCAATAATAACAGGTCACTTTTCATCCAATGTAACAGTCTAAAGGATGAACAGGAGTCTAACATCAAACATTATGACTAGCCTGCAGGGGGTAACTATTGTGTCTGATGAAAAATAGAGCACAGCACTTTATATATTTAGATATTTAACGATGATTAATAAATAGAAAATTGAATGAATGTATTAACAATAAAATTCACTCTACTTTGTCTCTCCTGTCACTTTTAAAACCCACATAATTTTCACGTTCATACCTTCTCAAGCCTCAGTGTACTGTATCTTCTTATCCAAATCCTTTTTTCTTTTTTATATAAATCCTGTAACTGATATTAAATGATACCCTTATATGATCAGAAGCCATAACAATAAAAGGGATGCTACATGAGTTCTAGGGACTTTCCAAATAACATTATTTGAGCTGAAGAAATAATGTTTAATGATTTGAAATTTAGCATCCCCAGATTTCATACATAGATCCAGTCCAACATTAAGAGTTTGAACACCTACAGCCTCTCCCAAAGGAGACTTACTCTACTCCCAGGAGATAAGAGGATGGGGAGCCAGAGGCAGAGGAGTGGTCATGGGGCTCATGCTCCTCAACCCTTATTCCCAGTGGGAGAAACTTCCAGGCATTGCTAATCCAACAAGGACAGCCTTGGTTATTTCCTAGTTACCAAATGATAAACATCTTTGAATTAAAAAATTCAACATTATTTGAAGCATAAATTCCCCATGGCAAATAAGATGCTCTTTACTCTAAGATGCCCTTTTGATTTAAGCAAAGTGTGAGTTTAAGGGAGAAAAATAATAGCTGAATTTGTTACTTCATAATTAAAACCACAAGTTTATATGCCATTAACACCTTATTCTGTATAAAAGCAGATCAGTGATTTCTCCACAATATGAAAAAGGTGAGCAGAGATTATTTTACCATGCTTATTTTATCATAGTGTATTTTTTTTTATAGTTTCTTTTTTTTTTTATAGAGGCATGTTTTTATTTATTTATTTATTATATTTGTTTGTTTTGTTTATACATGCACTGGGTACAGTCAGAAGCGCGGGAGGGTGAGAGAATTCACCAGAGCCAGAGTGGGGAGCAGAGCAGGCAGAAGGACTGAAGTACACTGCTGAGGGGAGCAGCGGGTGGCAGGAGAGGTTTGCGCACCATGTGGGACCCTCCTCTGGTGGCCGGGGAGCAGCCGGGGATCGAACCGGTGCCGCAGAGGCAGCGGGCAGCTTCGCAACCCAGCGCTCAACCGCTGCACCACCGGGGAGGCCCCATAGTGTATTTTTTAATCTCAGTAATTAAGTTGTTGAAATTACACTTTCCTTTTGTAAATTTTTTGAGCATAATCTGCTAAATATGAAATAACATTGGAAATATATGTTCAGCCATTCATTTTTATAGCCATATAAAAGATATAAAATGGAGTTGAAATTAACTTGCTATTGTAGAGAATTTTAAATAACTTAGTTTTACTCATATTTTTCAGAATATTGCATTCAAAAATCATTTCTTATTGAATGTTTCATGAAAAACTCTGAGTTTTGATCAAGAAAATAGAGTCTTTTCACACTGCTCAGCTTGAAGTCACCTAGATCAGACACCAGCTTCTTAACTCTGGGCATGTTATTTAACCTCTCTATGCATCTGGGTCTTTATGCAAAATATGAATAATAAGTGCCCAAAGAATGCAAAATGCACAATGAGCAACTCCAGGTAAAATATTAACAGCATGATTATCACATTATCAATGTTCAAAAATTATTAATAATAAAAAAATTTCAAATAACCATTCCTCTCTAGATATCACAGCTATGCCATTTCCTGTCAAGACAGAAAATTGTTGGGGTCTCCCTGGTGGTACAAGGGGTTAAGCACCGCACTATGAAGCAATTTGCAGCCTCTGCAGCATGAGTTTGATGCCTGGCCAGGGAGCAACCCAAATGGCCCAGCAGACCTCTCCTGTCTCACCCGCAGCTCCCCTCAGCAGTGTGTTTCAGTCAGTCTGCCTGTTCTGTTCCCCCCTCTGTCTCTGATGAATCCTCTCACACCCCCGTATCTCTGCCCTGTGACCCAGCTCTTGTATGCACAAATAAATCTTTAAAAAAAAAAAGACAGAAAATTGTTGAAGGGAAAGTCAATGTCTCATTTTAAAACTGCCAAATACCTCTCATAGTGATGCAAGAGCAGACTATGGACTGACCCAATTACAATTTATAGAGCAAATTCTTCGAATCTAAAACATCCCAATATTTGATCTCTTCAGAAATATGAGTCATAAACACAGATGAACCATGAGGAAGTTTTTGTCTTAAGGGTGTGCTGTGAGAAATTTAAGACAGAATTTGGGATTCCTTGAACTATGAAACAAAATGTAAAAATTATAAATTGTTTCATTGGTTTGGCTGTGTGGGAGGAAGAGGAACTTCGTGTCTTCCAGAAAGAAAGGGGATTGTACAGAAATGGAAAATGGCTGTATTTCGAAACACATGACAATGTGGATTTAGGACAATGTAACAATCTGTGAAAAGGTCATTATGTCACATGAATAAATGATACAAAAAGTGGATGGAAATAACAAAAATTAACAGCACAGGAATTACTCAAACAATCGGATCAAAAAACATTTTTATTTCAGGAGATGTCTAGGATAAGTCTACATACATAGTTTATGAAGTATACGTTATGTGTTAATAATGTTAGATGATAGAAGGATGGATAGATAGATATTCAAAACTTCTATTAAAAATAGAAATAAGGGATACAGTGGCAGATTTTACAGATAGCTGGCTTCATGTGTGAACTCTTTGATGAAATTTTCTTACACTTCATTTTCCATTTCTTTTTCTAATTACCCACTAAAGGATAAGCTTAACTAATTATTACTGAAAGCCTAAAGTGTGTAAATTCCCTAGAATTTTTAAAACTGTGGGGGCTACAATAGAATTAAGGATGTATTATAACAGAATCTTATTGTATTTCACATTCTAGACTTGATGTACACGCAGAACCTGCTATGGTGCATTATTTCTTCTACAAGAAGCTGGGGAGTGACCAGCTTGTCTGAAGTGGACCAGGCAGTGGAGTCTTAGTGACCAGTTTGCCCCTGGGCTGCCTGCAAGTGGTTCACAGGAGAAACATCAAAATTTATGTGCAAGAACCATGTAAATAAATTGTAATTCTGTGGTGCTAGACAGGAAAAAAAAAGACGTAAATACCAAATAGAGACTAAACTAACCAGACGGTGAAACATTTGTTATTAGAGAATGTCCCAGTTTACCTAGAGCTATTTGAGAAGAGGTTCCCTAATGCTTTTCTCTTATTTACTTGGTAGTATAGTGATATAAACATAATTTTAAATAGGATCATGAAAATAGATTATCTCTTTTTATATCTTTCAATTTTAGGATATCAGATTTGATATGTATTATTGAAAAAAATAAAAACAAGGGGCCTCCCCGGTGGTGCAGCGGTAGAGCCCTGGGTTGCGAAGCTGCCCGCGGCCTCTGCGGTGCTGGTTCAATCCCCGGCTGCTCCCCGGCCACCGGAGGAGGGTCCCACATGGCGCGCAGACCTCTCCTGCCGCCCGCTGCTCCCCTCAGCAGTGTACTTCGGTCCTTCTGCCTGCTCTACTCCCTGCTCTGGCTCTGGTGAATTCTCTCACCCTCCTGCGCTTCTGACTGTACCCAGTGCATGTATAAACAAAACAAACAAATAAATAAATAAATAAAACATGCCTCTATTTAAAAAAAAATAAATAAATAAAAACAAGAAAACTAGATATTTATTCTAGTCAATGGGCTTGAAATCTATAATTTATTTTCTAATTTTTAGCTTGTCCCATACTGAATCAACTTTAAGGTTTGAAATTGTTTTGTTCATAGATGGATTGCACAGGACATAATTCCCCACCAGGGAACCACACTGCATTAGTGGAATTCATCCTGATTGGGTTTTCTGATGTTCCCCACATTCATGGATTTCTTTTTGGTGTATTTCTGATAATCTATGTCTTTATACTTACGGGAAATAGCCTCATTATCATAATAACTAAGGTTGACTCCTCTCTCCACTCTCCCATGTATTTTTTCCTTCGGAATTTTTCATTTCTGGAAATTTGTTTTGTATCAGTTACTGTCCCCAGATTATTAACAGATCTCTGTAGACAATATGGAAATATTTCCTTTCCAGCTTGTGCAATTCAAATGTACTTCTTTCTGATCCTGGGAGACACTGAGTGCTTTATTCTCACTGCCATGGCTTATGACAGGTATGTTGCCATTTGCAACCCATTACTCTATCCTGTCATTATGAATGATACCGTATGTATTCAATTGGCACTTGTCTGCTGGACCACTGCAATTCCTGTACATATAGGGTTCATCTCTGTGGTGTTCACTTCAACTTTCTGTGGATGTAACCATTTGAATCACTTTTTCTGTGATGCACCTCCAGTTGTTCAACTTATTTGTGGGGATGCTTTCATGGTGGAAGTGTTGCTGTATGGGCTGGCTGCATTGATCACCAGTATACCTTCTTTCCTGATTCTTAGATCTTATATGAAAATAGTCTCCGCCATCCTGAAGCTGCCATCAGCAATTGGCAGAGCCAAGGCCTTCTCGACTTGTTGTTCCCATCTCATGGTTGTGACTTTATTCTTTGGCTCAGCCATCATTGTGTATTTGAGATCTATGACCAACCACTTAACAGGAATGGACAAATTCCTCTCTCTTTTTTATACTATCTTCATACCAATGTTAAACCCCATTATTTATTGTCTGAGAAACAAAGATGTTATGGTGGCCTTGGAGAAATTCCTACAGAAATCGATTGTGTTGTGACTCAGAAATATAGCATCCTTAAAATTATTCCTTGTTTTACACAAGCTAATTGTTTATCATCTATTATGCTAAAATAATTTATCACTCATGTAGTTAACACAGCTGTTATTTTTAAATCAAATAAGTAACCCAATTCAACATAAAGTTTAACAATGCCATTAATAAGTCATTGGATTCATTGAATTTGTTGACCTTATTGGTATTTTAAAAACAATGGAATAAAAGAAATAAAAAAATAAAAACAATGGAATATATTTTTCTTTTCACAAAAAAAAAATTATTTATATATCTCTAGATCCAATATATTCTCTGGACTACAAAGACATTTAATTTATTGGTCCAAAAAGATGACTAATAGCATAGTTACAACAATTGATTTTTCCTGCTTCTGCCCAACTTGCTTTATAATCATACAAAATGAAATACAGACATAAAGGCTTAGAGTGCAAGAAACTTAACTGTAATTATCATGTTAAAAAATCAAAATTCCATCTGCTCTTACTGCTGATTTGGTAGCTCATTCCCTAAATATGAACCACAAATGCAAAAAGTTTTAAAATAACTTTGTTCCAGAATCCAGTCTTCTTCTAGAATGTGACTTGCCTCCATTAACCTCATTGTATTCATTTCAAAAGCTGAATTATTTTTTTTATATAGCTTTTATTTTTATGTTATTTTATTTTATTTTTTACTTTCCTTGTTCAAACTTTATTTTTTTTTTAAGGTTTATTTATTTATTTATACAAGCACTGGGTACAGTCAGAAGCACGGAAGGGTGAGAGAATTCACCAGAGCCAGAGCCGGGAGCAGAACAGGCAGAAGGACCGAGGTATACTGCTGAGGGGAGCAGTGGGCGGCAGGAGAGTTCTGCGCCAAGTGGGACCCTCCTCAGGTGGCCGGGGAGCAGCCGGGGATCAAACCAGCGCTGCAGAGGCCGCGGGCAGCTTCACAACCCAGCGCTCAACCGCTGCGCCACCGGGGAGGCTCAATTTTTTTATATAGCTTTTAAATGCATAAGAAGAATGAGAAAACTTTGGGGGAATAGTATTTGAATAAATAAATTAGCTCTGGTTCTGTGTTACTTTTTCCATCTTATTGAAGTAGATATAACCAATTATGCTTATTTTTTAAATAATTTTATAGGTCTACTGAAATAGAATAGTTGTGCAGGTTTCAAGAATATTAAATTCTAATTTTGATTTTGTAAGATGTGATTATTAGTCACGTGTTTTTTGAAATTGTTTTCCTCTCCATGACCCACATTCTGTAAATCTCTAATCACCAACCCTTTAGGCTGTTGCATTGTTCACCTGACTTCCTATGAGTTTCCTTCTAATACAGAAACTCTCACTTACTTCCCCTCTCCCATCACTCATGTCACATTTGTGATGAGAGATCTCTATAAGGTAATGAGATTGAACACATAAAATAATATCTGTATAAATATTTCCTAACATAAAATTCCATGTTAAGTAGAAAGAATTGTGGGAAAAAAACTTAAAAAAAATTATTTTCAATACAAAAGTTACTCAATTTTTACAAAATATAGCTTTGTTTTTGAAAATTGTGAAAAATTTATAAACATAGATAACTAAATCATAGAGAATTTCTTAAATTATTTGTGAAAGAGCTATTAAAAATATCTGGGATATTTTTAAATCATTGCCAGCAATGCTACCTCTAGAGCTATTTCCACTCCATTAACATCAGAGCTACCTGTCATGTCGACACATTGAAGCTAACAAAGAAAATCTCACATACATTTGCAGTGAGTCATAAAATTAAAGTGTATGGAAAATTTGATAAATTTAAAGCTAGAAGTTCACATTGGTGGAAATGTGTATATTGGAGCCACAATTAATAAACACACATTAGCAGTGTTGTTTAACAAGACAAAGAGCTTCTTACAGTCTTAATGTAATTCAAGTGACCTTCTCTCCCAAATACTTACACACAGTAAGGACACAACTTCAAGTCTGATTCTGGCCTATATCTTCTCCCACATAAAGTATTGCAATCACTTCCCAAGAGGTGATTCTGCTTCTTTTCAATCTAAATTAACCACATTGTGTTCTGATTTCATACTGCCTTTCACTGACATTTTACTCCTTTCCAACAATGGAAAAATACACACAATACATATTATTAGTGGCTTAATTTGGGGAAATTAAATAACCCAGATGTAATTACTGAGTCTCTGACTTATTGAGCCCTAGAATGTACTGTGTAGATGATGCTACAATTGGAGCTAAGTATTTAGAGTTAACAAGACAAATGAGTTGGAGCTGAGTTGTTTATAAAACAACGAAAATATCAAAATGGAAGAAAAGTCAAAATGTCATATAAGGGCCAAAAGGAAATTATATTAGAGGGATATGAGAGTGTCAGAGTTGAAATATTTACCTTTTTGGCAGGAATTAACAGGTCATTATTCATCCAATGTAACCATCAGTTTCCCTCTAAAGGATGAACAGGAGTTTAACAGCAAACACAGTGACCAGCCTACAGGGGGTAACTACTGTATATGATGAAACATAGAGCATAGCACTTTATATGTTTAGATATTTAAAGATGTTTAATAAATAGAAAATTGAATGAATATATTAATAATAAAATTTACTCTACTCTGTCACTCTTATCACTTTAAAAACCACATAATTTCATTTTCACAGTCATACCTTCTCAGTATATAAAACTCAAGACTCAATGTCCTATATCTTCTTGTATGAACTCATTTTTCTTTCTTATAAAATTCTCTGTAACTAATGATAAATGATACTGAAATAACAATTGGGATGATACATGAGCTCTAGAGACCTTCCAAGTTACATTATTTGAAGTAAAGAAATTGTGTTTGCAATTTGAAATTTAGTATCCTCAGATTTCATTTGTAGTTGTAGTCTAATAAAAATGAAAATAATTTTATTTTTAATAAAATAAATAAATATAAAATGATAAATATAAAAATACTGCGAATGCCTTCTGTGACCTCTCCCAATGGAGATTTGCTCTATGCCCCAGAGGTGGGAAGCCAGGGACAGAGGTCTGGTCAAGGGTTAATGCTCCTCAACCTCTATCCCCAGAGACAGAGCTGCCAGGCATTGTTAATCCAACTCAACACAGCCTTAGCTATTTCCTAGTTTCCACTTGATAAACAGATCATTGAGTTTAAAAATGCAACAAGAATTGGAGCACAAATTCCCCACGGCAAATAAGACTCTTTACTATAAAGGTGTCCTCATTTAAGTAAAGTATGAGTTCAAGGAAGAAAAATAATAGATGAATTCGTTACTTCATAATTAAAACCAAAAGTTTATATGGCATAATATCTTATTCTTTGCAATAAGAGCAGTTCAACGGTTTCTGTATAATATGAAAAGGGTAGGCATCATTATTTTACCCTGCTTAGTTTATCATAGTGTATTTTTTAAACTCAATAGTCAAAAGTCCTTGAAAAGGCACTTTCTTTTTTCTAATCAAATTCATTTTTGAGAATGATCTTCTGAACTCAAAATATAAACTGAAACTGTGAGTAATCAGCTATTCATTTTTATAATAGTAAAATAGATATAAATGGACATGAAATAAACTTGGTTGTGAATAAATAGTTTTACTTACACCTTCAACATATTGCATTAAAAATTACTTATCATTGAATGCTTTACGACAACCATGACTTTTGATTAAGAATGTGGAGTCTGCATTGTGCTGCTGAGTTTGAAGCCCCTGGGTCAGATAGTCACTTCCTGACATTGGGCAGGTTATTTAAACTTTCTATACATCTGGATCTTTTTCAAAGTATAAATATAATAGTGCTCACAAAATTCAGGATGCATTAATGAGAAAACACATGTAAAATATTAACAGCATGGTTATAATAATAAATGTTATTAATAATTAAATTGTTAATAATAAAAAGTGTCAAATAACCAGACCTCTCTATATTTCACAGCTATGCCAATCCCATGTTAAAACTGCTTAGTTCCTCTAATTCTTCATGGAGAGAGTAGACCAATTTCAGAAGAGAAAATATTTAAAGAAAGTTATCTTGGGATATGCTCTCAGATATTAAATAAAATTTGAGATAGATTGTTAGGTTTAATTTATTTGTATTTTTATAATATCTTCTTCTCTTATGTGCTCAAAATTCAAAAAACTGGTACATAAAAGCCAATGAGTTAAAGTGGTTATCTCCAGGCATTAATGCTGGTTTGTATCACTGAGCATAGAACTGTCTATTATTTTTAAACTCAGTATTCCTGCCAAATTACTACTATGTGCATTCTCTCCCTTCTAGATTGGGAAATATCTACTCCATGATTGGATTAAAGATGAACAAACTTCAAGATAAAAAATGATATCCAACATATATCACTTATGCTGTGTGTATTTATCATAATATAACCACTTATATCATGATATATCATTTATGAATTATATTCTATGTATTATGTGTTAGTAATAGTAGATGATAGAAAATAAATGAATTGATAGATTTTCAGAACTCCTATTAAACACAGAAGATATAAAATGGCAGACTTTATACACATAGATATGGTGTCATGTGTGAACTGTCTGATCAAATTCTCTGAAAACCTTCAATTTCCTTTACTTTTTCTAACTATTCTCTAAAAGGGCAAGCTTAACAAATTATTACTAAAAGTCTAAAGTTTGTAAATTGCTTAGAGTTTTAAGACTGTGGTGACTATGGTAGAAGTGATGGTGTCTTATAACAAAAATCAGACTTTATGTGCACATAGGACCTCGTATGGTGCATTATTTCTTGTACAAGAAGCTGATGAGTGACCAGGTATGCTGAAATGGACCAGGCAGTGGAGACTTACTGATCACCTTCTCCTGGGCTGCCTGAGAATACCTCACAGGAGAAACATCAAAATCAACGTACAAGAATCATATAAACAGATTATAAATTTCACGGTGCTAGACAGAAAAATATAGACTTAGGCACCGAATAGAGAATAAATTAATGAGGAAGGCGGAACATTTCTTATTAGAGAAGGTTTCAGGTTACCTGAAGCTGTTTGAGAAGAGGCTTCCTATCATGTTCTCTCTAATTTTATTTCATCTACTTTTTAGTGTTAGTAATATACCTATAGTCTTTAATATGATCAGAAAACAGATTATCTTTTTAAATTTCCTGGAATTTTATTATATTACATTTTAAATGTATGACCTAAAATAGAAAGCAAACAAAAAATTGGTATCTATTCTGTGTCAATGAGCTTGAAATCTGTAATTTAATTTGTCCCAAATTTCAGCTTGAACCAAAGAATTGAATTGACTTCTAAGCATTGAAATCATTTTGTTCATAGATGGAATGCACAGGACAAAATTCCCCTCTGGGGAACCACACTGCATTGGTGGAATTCATCCTGATTGGGTTCTCTGATGTTCCCAACCTTCAAGGATTCCTTTTTGGTATATTTCTGATAATCTATGTCTTTATTCTTACAGGAAATAGCCTCATTATCATAATAACTAAGGCTGATCCTTCCCTACAGACCCCCATGTATTTCTTTCTTAGGAATTTTTCCCTTTTGGAAATATGTTATGTGTCAGTTACTGTCCCCAGATTATTAGCAGATCTCTATAGACAATATGGGAATATTTCACTGCTGGCTTGTGCTATTCAAATGTTTTTCTTTTTGATCTTGGTAGACACTGAGTGCTTTATTCTCACTGCCATGGCTTATGACAGGTATGTTGCCATTTGCAAACCATTACTCTACCCTGTCATCATGAACAACAGGCTGTGTATGCAGCTGGCAGTTGTCTGCTGGACCGCTGCAATTCCGGTACATACAATATTCATCTCTGTTGTCTTCTCCTCAACCTTCTGTGGATGTAACCAGTTGAATCACTTTTTCTGTGATGCACCTCCAGTTGTTCAGCTTGTTTGTGGGGATACTTTCATGTTTGAAATGTTAACTTATGCAGTTGCTGCATTCGGCGCCAGTATACCTTCTTTTATGATTCTTGGATCGTATGTGAAAATAATCTCCACCATCCTGAAGCTGCCATCAGCAACTGGGAGAGCCAAGGCCTTCTCTACTTGTTCTTCCCATCTCATGGTTGTGACTTTATTCTTTGCATCAGGCATCATTGTATATATGAAACCTAAGTCCACTTACTCAACAGGAATAGACAAATTCCTTTCTCTTTTTTACACCGTTTTGGTACCCATGTTCAACCCTATTATCTACTGTCTGAGGAACAAAGATGTTATAGTCGCATTGAGAAAATTCCTGCAGAAATGGACTGTGCTGTGACTCACAAACATAACTTCTTAAAACTCGCTTCATATTTTTGACATTCTCCATTTGGTTTTTCTTTAATTTTGCAAAAACCTGAACTATTATGAATGGTCTCATATATTTATCTCTCATAAATAAACTCACCTATTACTGTTAAGCCAAGTAAATACCCAACTCAATATAAAGTTTAGAAACATTGTTAATATCTCATTGGAGTCATTAAAGTTTGTTGATTTAAGTGTTGTTTTGAAAAGTATAGAATATTATCTTTTCACAAAAAATATTAACTTATATATCTGCAGAACCAATAGTTTCTGAACATAAATTTGTTGGTCTAAAGGGATGATTACCACACATGTGTAACAATTTATTTTTTTCTGCTTCAGCCAAATTATATTGTAATTATCCAAAGTGAAGTACAGAAATAAAGGCTTGGAGTCCAAGAAACTTAACTATAATTCAATCTACTAGAAAGTCAAATCCCATCTGCTCTTATGCCAAATGAGTAGCTCAGTCTTTAATGAGGAATCACACAAGAACAGTGCTCACACTGTCTTGGTGATAGGATCCAGTCTTTCTCTTGAATGTGACTTAACTCCATTCAACTTTTATTGCATTCATTTCAACAGCTAAATTAAATTTTGTTATACAGGTCTTAAATGCACATAAGGAATGCTAAAACTATAGAGGAATAGTATTTGAGTGATTCAATAAAAAATTAAACTATGGTTGTGTGTTACTTTTACTGACTCTCTTATTGAGGTACAAATGTCCTGTTATGCTTACACTTTTCTTTACATAATTGTATAGGTTTTACTGAAAAAGAATAGCTTTGTAGGTTTCAAGAGATAAATTCTAATTTTAATTTTGTAAGATGTGTTTATTAATGTTTTTCCCACATTGTTTTCCTTCTCCATGAAACACATTCTGTAAGTCTCTTATCATCAACCCTCCCAGACTCTTGAGTTGTTCATGTTGACTTCCCATGAGTTTCCTTCCAATACAGAAACCATCACTCACTTCCTCTGTCCCATCGTTCATGTCACCTTTATGATTAGAGATCTCTATAAGGTAATGAGATTGCACATATAACACAATGACTGCATAAATATTCCTGACATAAAATTTCAGTTAAGGAGAAAAAAAAATGGGGGAAAACGCTTTAAACCATTATTTTCAATGCTAAATTTATTCCATTCTAACAAAATGTAGCTTTGTTCTTGGAGCACTGTTAAAGAAATTATCAAATATAAATAACTAAATCATAGAGATGTTCTTCCATTGTTTGTGAAGGTGCTATTAAAAAAATAGAAGGGGGGTTTCAAACATGACCAGTATGTTCTCTTTAGAGCTGTCCCCTGCCCACAAACATCAGCTACCTCTCATTTGAGAACAGTGAAGCAATCAAAGACCTCAAGCAGAAGTAGAGAGGGTGAATACTGGCAAACACATTATGTGTGGAGAAATTACATATCCAGTCAACAGCAACATGTCAGAATTTCATGTTTTTTTTTAACATAATTAATTATGCTTTGATGGTGGATGTAGTGTGGTAATATACATTTAAACTTTATGAAACTACATCCATAAGAAAACTATAGTGTTCTAAATGGATGTTGTTAATATAAAAATCATACTTTTTTTAAAAAGGATATTAAGATGTGTTGCCTTAGAATTTTGTGCTAGCAATTCTATGTTGGAAATCCAGCTTGAGGAGGATGAAGGAAAGAAGAATATTCATAGGGCTACGTAGAACATCAAACCCTAGTGTGATCCAGAGCATGGCCCAACGCATGTGGGCACGTAGAGAAGGGCAGACCTTAGGTCAGCTGGACTTCTCAGAGGAGGACAACACCCTGGCAAAGGTGGGTCCCCTGTGAGGATGAGAGCTTTAGTTACTAAATACTCCATAGTCTATAGATAGAAAGGACCCACTGATCACCAGTTTTAACTCCTCAAACACCATAGAACATTGAAAGAGGCATAATGGCTGGCTGCATTTGTTGAGGAAGACATTCTAGAAATTCTAGCTAGACTGTGTCAAGCCTGGTCAGGAAAATTTTCTTTACCTTTAGCACAAATCTCATGAAGGCAACATTTGCAACAGCTTGCTGCAGAGAAGAATATAGATGTTGTTGGGACATGTGTTCTCTAAAGTATAAGGTTTGACGACAGTAATACCAAGAGGTGGCAGCTGCATTATTACCAAATAATTTTGATGGGATTTTATGTGTGCTTCTAGACAGTAGCGAGTGCTGTGATGCAGAATGCATGATGTTCAATCCATATTCCTGTCTTCTAACAAGAGTCAGGGAAGGTATACTCTAGTATCCAACATTTATCCTGGCAAAGCATCCCATTATTGGGTCCTGAATTTAACATTAGTTCGAGGCACATTGCCTGTGTGTGGATCCTTGTGTATATTCCTGTGGGTACAAGTTCATTCCTGCAAGGACTTGTTTCAACAGGACCTGTGGAGCAGTAAAACTTCCCACATGTGAGTCTCTGCACCAGATCCTGACCTGCAGAACCCGGGTGCGGCAGGTGCCCCCGCCCTGAATGTGCCCTTAACACTGCATTTGATTGAGTGCTCAAGTCATCTTCACACTTCCTCACATGAAAATTTTGAAAAGTGAAAAGGTCCATTAGCCTATGATGTTAAAGTCAAAATTTGAATGTTGTGAAAATGACCTAAAGGGAAAATATCATGACTACTAAAAGATATTTCACTGCAATACAAAGATAAGTAAAAAACAGGTTATAATTCACAGCAGGAATCCAGAGCCTTTGAGGAATGGAGGAATTATAAAGTAGACCTTAAGCAGCAAGGTGATTATTAAGTTTTGTTTCATAATGAACTCTAACAAAGGTCAGCAGTGATGGGATTTGTGACAAAAGAAATTCAAAGGACTTCCACATAAAATTGAATGGATTTTGAATTTCATTTGGCAATGAAATTTCATTCTCAGGTATCAATCTTGTATTCTTAAAACACACACACATGGGCACACACACAAACACGCAGGAGGGCTTTGGAGTATCACATAAGATTATTTGTAGAAAGTCATTCAATTTAGATTCGACCCTTGAGAAAAATAGAGCAGGGTCAGCATCTCCTGCAGGGTTTTTCTTGTTCCCCCCAACCCCCACATAATCCTATATGCTCAATCCAGACCAAAAAGTATGTTGAGGCTCATTTGGCAGCTACAAAAATATAGAAAATGTACACTCAGATGTGGCAGTTCATATGGTGAGAGGGCCATAAAAACCAAAAAGAGCTCTGGAATTTTTCCAAGTGACATTTATTCCGCAGAAGAAATAATATCTTAATCATTCAAAATTTAATATCCTCAGATTATTCATAGATCTAAACCAAAATTAAGACTGGGAATGCCTTCTACAACCTCTGCCAACAGAGACTTGCTCTAACCCCAGAGACAGGAGGCTGGGAGGGGAGCATGGGACAGAGAGGTCATGGGGCTAATGCTCCTAACCCATTTTCCCCATGAGAAAACAAGCCATCATTGCTAATCCAATAAGGGACAGCCTTGGTTATTTCCTAGTTACCAACTGATAAACATCTTTGAATTTAAAAATGCAACAGTATTCGGAACACACATTCCCCATGGCAATTGAGACACTCTATTATAAAGGTGCCATGTTGATCAAGTAAAGTATGAATTCAAGGAAGAAGAACAATGGTTAATTTGTTACTCATTATAAAAGCACAAGTTCATGTGACATACACCCTATTCAGTATAAAAGAGCAGCTTGGGGATTTCTTCACAGTATGAAAAAGGTGAGCAGCAATCACTTTACCCTGGTTCTTCCATTATAGTGTGTTTTTTGATCTCAATAAACAAAGCTCATTGAAAATATATTTTCTTTTGCTATTCCGATTCATTTGTCTTATATTTGTCTGTCCTTCAAATATACATTACATGAGTAATGAGCCTCTAATTTTTGGAGCACCATAGAATATATAAAATGGGGGTGAAATCAACTTGCTCTTATGAAAGTTTTATGCAACTTAGTTTTACTCATATTTTTCAGAATATTGCATTCAAAAATCACTTTTCACTGAATACCTTATGACAGCCATTGAGTGCTGATTAGGAATGTGAATTCTGATCACACTCCTGAGTGTGAAATCACCAGGGTCAGACATCCGCTTCCTGCCACTGGGCAGGTTCTTTATCTCTCTGCATTAGGTACTTATGCAAAATGGGAATATTAACAGTGCCTACAGATCAGATGCATTCATGAGGAAATCTGGATAAAGTGGACTGAATTTAAGATAAGCAAACTTTAAAATAAAGAGGGTATAAGGTAATAATGATAAATACAATATCTATGATGAGCATCAAAACAATGCTGAACAGAACTACAACTGTGTATTTTATTTTTATTTTTTAAATTATTTTTTTATAGAGGCATGTTTATTTATTTATTTGTTTGTTTGTTTGTTTATGCATGCACTGGGTACAGTCAGAAGCGCGGGAGGGTGAGAGAATTCACCAGAGCCAGAGTGGGGAGCAGAGCAGGCAGAAGGACCAAAATACACTGCTGAGGCGAGCAGCAGGCGGCAGGAGAGGTCTGCGCGCCATGTGGGACCCTCATCCGGTGGCTGGGGAGCAGCCGGGGATCGAACCGGCACCGCAGAGGCCGCGGGCAGCTTCGCAACCCAGCGCTCAACCGCTGCGCCACCGGGGAGGCCCAACTGTGTATTTTAAATAAGGCTCTTATATGGATTAAATCTCTTACTTCTCAAAAGAAGTCTCACTCGTTACTTATTATTATGACTCTATATTTTCAACAAGGAAAATTAAGCTTTGATAATTTAGATAACTACATATTATCAAATTATTTCTGATTTTGTATGTAATGGAATACAAAGTTCTTTGCTCAGTGAACTTTTTTGTTACCCTGGCAATATTGTGAGTCATTGGGAAATCATTTCCAATTACCATCAGCAGGTATTTCTAAAACACTCACATTGCAAAGACTAGTTATTTGGGTTACAAAGTTGAATGAGTATGCGGACCTATTTTCTGGAAATAATGTTTATTTTCTTTCCTTTTAGGTGATAATCCCAGCATGACTCTGTGATCTGACAAAATCTCAGAGTTATGTCACTTTCTTAGGAATGTGTCCCTCCTGCAAGACCAGGTAACTCTCCCCATACAGATCTGCACTTTCTAGGGTGACATCTGACTTCCCTGCCTGACCTTACCAGTGGCCAGTAAGCTCTGTAAAGATGACTGAATTCATGCAATTCACCACCATAATTTTTACTATCCTTTTCAATGGACATAGGTGTATTTAACATGCACTTAATATTTATCCACAATAAACAACAGTAATTCTTATTAAATATATATTGCTTGACTGTGATACATTTGAAACATTTTGGGTCAATGAAAATTCATTTCTCTGAATGCTGTAGTTGTTTTTCAAAGGTATAGCCTATATATATAAAAAAAAATTAAGGTGGTGTTATATTCATTTGAGAGATACAATATGGAAAATTAATTATTGAATTGTGAAATCAGAGAAAATAAAGGCACAGACTCAAACATAGAGATCCAAGAGAAGACTATGGTTTCTGTTTAGAGAGCATATTTTTTGAATCTCAAACATCCTTGGTTCTTGATGCCACCTGTTCAGAAAGTGAGTCATAAACACAGAAGAGACATGAGCTTTATCTTGACGGTGTGATTTGAAATACTAAAGACAGAATGCAGGATTCCTTGAACCGAGAAGGAAGGGATTAAAGGTTTGAAGAAATTAGGTACAAAATGTAGAAATTATAAATTGTTCCCTTGGTTTCAATTTGTTGAAAAGGAGGAGGTTGGTGTCAGAGAGGAAGAAAGGAGAGTTGTACAGAAATGGAAACTGCTGCACTTCCAAACACATGACAATATGGATTTCAGACTATGTGACAATGTGTGAATAGGTCATTCTTCACATGAATAAATGCCACAGAGACTGAAGGGAAATAGGGCCTCCCCTGTTGGCACAGAGGTTGAGGGCTGGACTATGAAGCTGTCCTCAGCCTCTGCAGCGCTAGTTCGTTCCCTGCCAGCGAGCGAGGGTCCCACATGGAGTGCAGACCTCTCCTGTCTTGCCCACTGCTCCCCTCAGCAGTGCATTTCCTCAGTCTGCCTGTTTGTTCCCCACTGTGTCTCTGGTGAATCCTCTTAACCCCCACACCTCTGGCCTGTACCCGGTTCTTGTATAAATGAATAAATAAATATTTTTTAAAAAAGAATATTATAAAAAAAAGACTGAATGGAAATAAGAAAAATTAAGATTTAGGATTCAGTGCAGTGCAGGAATTACTAAACATATTCTGATGTAAAAATAGTATTTTAGGAGACGACTAGAATAAGTTGCACTGCAATTAGCTGTGTGTTCCCAATTTTAAATGGGATCAGCAAAGTTTGTATTATGCACAGCACCTATTAATCATAATGTATAATTTGTGATATATATTATATATTATATTGTAATAAGATGGATGGATAGATAAATATTCAAAATTCCTATTAAACATAGAAGTAACAGATACTACAGCAAGTTTTTCACATATCTGGTCTCATGTTTGAACTCTCTGCTCACATATCTGATATGCCTTCATTTTCCTTTTCTTTGTCTAATTGCTATCTTAAAGGATAAGCTTATCTAATTATTACTAAGAGCCTAAAGTTTTGATTATGTTTGAATTTTTATTTCTGTGGAGATGTGTTAGAATTAAAGAGATAATATAGCAAAATGTTAATTTATTTCCTATTTTGTATTTATGTTCACATAGGGCTTGCTAAGATGCAACATTTCCAATACTAATAGCTGGTGGGTGACCAGGTTGGTTGGAGTGGACCAGGCAGAGGAGACCTACTGACCAACTTGCCCCTGAGTTGCCTGAGAGTAGCGAACAGAAGAAATATCAAAATCAATGTACAAGATCATATCAATAGACATAAATTCAATGGTGCTAAACAGAAATTAAAATAGACAGGAAAAATGAAGAGATCAAATTAATCAGAAAGGAGAATCATTTCTCATTAGAGATGGTTCCAGGTTACCTAGAGCATTTTGAGAAGAGGCTCCCTAATGCTTTGCTCTTAATTTGTTGTTACCTATTTCATAGTGTTAGTGACAAAGCATATATTTCAATATGATTGTGAAAATAGATTATCTCTTTTAATATCTTGGACTTTTAGGATATTCAATTTGAAATGTATTCCCCAAAATATAAAACAAACAAGAAAAAAACATCTATCCCATGCCAATTGATTTGAAATCAGTCATGATACATCCACTATTCAACTCAAGCCAAAGGATTGCTGACCAGTAAGACCTGAAATCATTTTGATCATAGATGGAATGCACAGGACAAAATTCCTCCCTGTGGAACCACACTGCATTGGTGGAATTCATCCTGATTGGGTTTTCTGATGTTCCCAACCTTCAAGGATTCCTTTTTGGTATATTTCTGATAATCTATGTCTTTATTCTTATGGGAAATAGCCTCATCATCATGATAACTAAGGTTGATCCTTCACTGCAGACTCCCATGTATTTTTTCCTTAGGAATTTTTCTTTTTCAGAAATATGTTATGTATCATTTACTGTCCCCAGATTATTAACAGATCTCTGTAGGCAACATGGAAATATTTCATTGCTGGCCTGTGCTATTCAAATGTATTTCTTCCTAATCTTGTCAGCCACTGAGTGCTTTATTCTCAGTGCCATGGCTTATGACAGGTATGTTGCCATTTGCAACCCATTACTCTACTCTGTCATCATGAATGATAGGCTGTGTATGCAGCTGGCAGTTGCCTGTTGGTCTACTGCAATTCCAATACATACATTGTTGATCTCTGTGGTCTTCTCTTCAACCTTCTGTGGATGTAACCAGTTGAATCACTTTTTCTGTGATGCACCTCCAGTGGTTCAGCTTATTTGTGGGGATGCTTTCAGGGTTGAAATGTTGCTGTATATGATTTCTGCACTACTTGCTAGTATACCTTCTTCTCTGATAGTTGGATCTTATGTGAAAATAGTCTCCACCATTCTGAAGCTTCCATCAGCAACTGGCAGAGCCAAGGCCTTCTCGACCTGTTTTTCCCATCTCACGGTTGTCACTTTATTCTTTGGCTCAGCCATCATTGTGTATTTCAAATCTACGACCAGTCGCTCAACAGGAGTGGACAAATTCCTTTCTCTCTTTTATACTATCTTGACACCAATGTTAAACCCAATTATATATTGTCTGAGAAACAAAGATGTTAAGGTGGCCTTGGAGAAGTTACTACAAAAATGCATTGTGCTGTGACTCAGACACATAACAGTTCAAAGTTGTTCCTTTTTTACATAATATTCATTTGCTTTTTATCAATTTTGCTATAAGCCAGAATTTTTCTGAATGATGTCACATTTTTATATCTCACAAAATAAGCTATCTGTTATTTTTAAGTCAAATACCAACTCAATATAAGGTTTAGAAATATTAATATCTCATGAAGTCATTAAAGTTTGTTTATCCAATTGTTTTAAATACTATAAACATTGTCTATTCATTCTTTTCATGAAAAATATTTATATATGTCTTGAACCAATATATTGTTTGTAAAACAAATACATTTAATTAAATTTGTTGCTCCAAAAGGGTAACTAATAGCACAGATGTAGCTATTGATTTTTTCCCCAAGTTTACATTATAATCATATAAAGTGTTATAGATATAAAGGTTTGGAGTCCAAGAACCATATTGTGATTAACATGTTAAAAAAAGGTGAAATTGCCATCTGCTTTTACTGCAGATTCATCAGTAACTCCCTAAAGATGCAGCACACATGCAATTGAGTTAAAGTGAAAAATATGAAAGTTGCAAATATGACTTTTAGGGAAAATATCATGACTACTAAATGAGATTTCTCTGCAATATAAAGACTGAAGTTAAACACAGATTATGATTCACAGAAGGAATACAATTTTTTTTTATTTTTTTAAATAAATTTTATTTTTATATTCCCCATACAATTGCAACCCCCTTATTTTGACCCCAATCTCTCCCCTCCCCGCCCCCCACCTCCCATAGAGTGTCTCTGGTTCATAGTTTTTTGTTGATTTTGATTTTCACTTTCTTATAGCTATTCATTTTCCTGGTCCCTTATTTAAGTTTTCTAGATTCCTGCTATGAGTGAGACCTCTCCCATCACTCATGTCACATTATGATCAGAGATCTCTATGAGGTAATTAGTTGTACACATGATACAATATCTGCATAAATATTTCTTGACATAAAATTCCATGTTCAGTAGAAATAAGATGGGGGAATAAACTTTCCAAAATATTTCCAATGCAAATAGTATTCATTTTTTACAAAATGTATGTTTGTTCTTTGAGCACTCTCAAAGAATTTATCAAATATAAGTGACTAGGTTGTAATGCTGTTCTTAAATTTTTGTGCAGTCATTATATTAAAAAATGATTAGGGCAATTTTTAAAACATTGCCAGTAATTGACCTGTCTGGCTGCCTCCTCCCCTATACATCAGAGATACCTGTTATGTTGACAACAATGAAGTGATCAAAGATATCTCAGCAAAAGTAGGGGGTTGAATATTGGCAAACTCAGCACATGGGCACAAATTATATATCCAGTTAACATCAAGAAGTCAATTTTTATCTTTTTATAACATAATTAATTGGGGCTTGATGGTGGATGTAGTGTGGTAATATACATCTAACTTTATGAAACTAAAGCCCGAAAAAAATATAGCTTCTAAACTCTTATTGCCACAGTAAAAAGATACATTTTTTTAAAAACAGATACCAACACATGTGAATTTTGTACAAACAATTCCATGTCGGAAATCCACCTGGAGGATAAAGGAAAGATGAATAGGCATAAGGCTATGATAAGCATCCAACCCTAGTGTGATCCAGAGCATGGCCCAACTCATGTGAGCACATGGAGAAGGGCAGACACTAGGTCATCTGGACTTCTCAGAGTCTTTGCACCATGGCAAAGGCAGGTGCTCTGTGAGGATGAGAGCTTAAGCTACCACATACTCTATAGTCTGTAGATAGAAAGGAGCAACTGATCACCAGTTTTAACTCTTCAAACACCACAGAACATTGGAAGAGGCATAATGACTGGCTGCATTTGATGAGGAAGACTTTCTAGAAATTCTAGCTAGAATGTGTCAAGTCTGGTAGGGAAGATGTTCTTCACATCTAGCACAGATCTCATAAGGCAACATTTGCAACAGCCTGCTGCAGAGAAGAATCTAGATGTTGTTGGGGCATGTGTTCTCTTAAGTTGTTTATAAGGTTTGACCACAGTAATACCAGAGGCGGCAGCTGCATATCACTAAATAATTTAGATGGGATTTTATGTGTGCTCACAGACAGCAGTGAGTGCTGTGACACAGAGTGTGTGATGGTCAACCCACATTCCTGTCTTCTAGCAAGACAAGACTCAGGGAAGGTAGAGTGAGGAATGTAACAATCAAGCTGGCAAAGCATCCCATTATTGGGTCCTGAATTTAACATTATTTTGATGCACATTGCCTGAGTGTGGATCCTGTTGTATATTCCTGTGGGTACAAGTTCATTCCTGCAAGGACTTGTTTCAACAGGACCTGTGGAGCAGTAAAACTTCCCACATGTGAGTCTCTGCACCAGATCCTGACCTGCAGAACCCGGGTGCGGCAGGCGCCCCCGCCCTGAATGTGCCCTTAACACTGCATTTGATTGAGTGCTCAAGTCATCTTCACACTTCTTCACATGACAATTTTGAAAAGTGAAAAGGCCCATTAGCCTATGAGGTTAAAGTCAAAATTTGAATGTTGCGAAAATGACCTAAAGGGAAAATATCATGACAGCTAAAAGAGGTTTCTCTGCAATATAAAGACAAGTTAAAAACAGGTTATGATTCACAGCAGGAATCCAGAGCCTTTGAGGAATGGAGGGATTATAAAGTAGACCTTAAGCAGCAAGGCGATTATTAAGTTTTGTTTCATAATGGATGCTAACAAAGGTCAGCAGTGCTGGGATTTTTGACATAAAAGAGAATCAAAGGATTTCAGCATAAAATTGAACGGATTTTGAATTTCATTTGGCAATGAAATTTCATTCTCAGGTATCAACCTTGTATTCTTAAAACACACACACAGGGGCACGCACACACACGCAGGAGGGCTTTGGAGTATCACATAAGATTATTTCTAGAAAGTCATTGAATTTAGGGCCTCCCCTGGTGGCGCAGTGGTTGAGCGCTGGGTTGCGAGGCTGCTGTAGCCTCTGCAGGGCCAGTTTGATCCCAGGCTACTGGCGAGGGTCGCACAAAAAAAAAAAAAAAAAAAAAGGAAAGTCATTGAATTTAGATTCTAGATTCAACCCTTGAGAAAACTAGAGCAGGGTCCGCTCCTCCTGCAGTGGTTTTCTATTTCTCCCCCAACCCCCATAATCCTATATGCTCAATCCAGACCAGAAAGTATGTTGAGGCTCATTTGGCAGCTATGAAAATATAGAAAATGTACACTCAGATGTGGCAGTTCACACATAGCAAGTCAGAGACCAATTTCTCATTTTCACATTTACACCTTCTCAATATATAAAATGTAAGACTTAGTGTACTATATCCTCTTGACCAAATCAAATTTTCATTCTTATATAAATGCTTGTTACTAATGCTACATGCTATCCTCCTATGATGAGAGGGCCATAAGAACCAACAGATGATGCTAGAGCTCTGGAGTCTTTCCAAGTGACATTTATTCCGCAGAAGAAATAATATTTTAATCATTCAGAATTTAATATCCTCAGATTATTCATAGATCTTGACCAAAGTTAAGACTGTGAACACCTTCTACAGCCTCTCCCAACAGAGACTTGCTCTAACCCCAGAGACTAGAGGCTGGGAGGAGAGTGTGGGACAGAGGAGAGGTCATGGGGCTAACACTCCTAACCCATATTCCCTGTGAGAGAACATGCCAGGCATTGCTAATCCAACAAGGGACAGCCTTGGTTTTTCCCTAGTTACCAACTGATAAACATCTTTGCATTTAAAAATGCAACAATATTCAGAGCACACAATCCCCACGGCAAATGAGAGACTCTTTACTATAAAGGTGCCATGTTGATCAAGTAAAGTATGAATTCAAGGAAGAAAAACAATGATTAATTTGTTACTCATTATAAAAGCACAAGTTCATGTGACATACACCTTATTTAGTATAAAAGAGCAGCTCGGGATTTCTTCACAATATGAAAAAGGTGAGCAGCAATCACTTTACCCTGGTTCTTCCATTATAGTGTGTTTTTTGATCTCAATAAACAAAGCTCATTGAAAATATATTTTCTTTTGCTATTCCGATTCATTTGCCAGTATAGTTGTCTGTCCTTCAAATATACATTACATGAGTAATTAGCCTCCAATTTTTAGAGCACCATAGAATATATAAAATGGGGATAAATCAACTTGCTCTTATAAAAGTTTTATGTAACTTTGTTTTACTCATATTTTTCAGAATATTGCATTAAAAAATCACTTTTCATTGAATACCTTCTGGCAGCCATTAAGTGTTGATTAGGAATGTGGATGTTGATCACACTATTGAGTTTGAAGTCACCTGGGTCAGACATCAGCTTCTTGCCACTGGGCAGATTCTTTATCTCTGTGCATTAGGTACTTATGCAAAATGGGAATATTAACAGTGCCTACAGAAATCAGATGCATCCATGAGGAAATCTGGGTAAAGTGGATTGAATTTAAGATAAGCAAACTTTAAAGAAAAAGTATATGAGATAAAGTAATAATGATAAATACAGTAGCTATGATAAGCATCAGAACAATGCTGAACAGAACTACAACTGTGTATTTTAAGCCAGGTTCTTATATAGATTCAATCCCTTACTTCTCAAAAGAACTCTTACTTAGTTACATGTTGTTATGACTCTGTATATTTTCAGCAAGGAGACTTAAGCCTTGATATTTAAATAAACACATATTACCAAAATATTTCTGATTTTGTGTGAAATTGAATATAGTTCTTTGCTCAGTGAACTTTTTAGTTACCTTGACAATATTGTGAGTCAGTGGGAAATTAATTTCAATTACCCATCAGCAGTTATTTGTAAAACACATTGCAAAGACTAGACATTTGGGTTATAGAATTGAATGAGTATAAGGACCTATTTTTCTGGAAATAACGTGTATTCTCTTTCCTTGTAGATGATAATACCAACATGATTCTGTGATCTGACAAAATCTCAGAGTGATGTCACTTTCTTAGGAATGTGTCCCTCCTGCAAGACCAGGTAACTC